TCATGTTGGCCTTCCAGTCAATATTGGGCATCATGGCACTAAGCCAAGGTTTTCCAAAAAGTAGATCATCATGCTTGGAAAGTTTCGTTACGTTGAACTTTCCATACATAAGTCTCCGATCGAGACGAATGAATAGCATGCAGTATTGGGTTACCTGTCCTGCCGAGGACGGGCTTCCATCTACTGTGGTGATCCGGAAGGGTTTCTTGAGTAGGTGGGTCTGGATCCCATTTCGCTTGACGAAGTCATAGCTAATGAAGGTCCCACCTGCCCCTGAGTCGATGATGGCGGTCGACTGAACGGTTTTGGCACTGCAAGAAGAGAAAAGTGTCACCGGGACACGAAACTCGTTGGATTTACCAACAGCTTTAGTATACAATGCGCAGATAGAGGGAATTGACCATTCGACAAGCCCTCTCTTTAAAAATCCTTTCTTTTGACAAGGTTGACTTCCATGTCTTCCTCGTCAGAAGACTCGTCAAGCTGGCGGATGCCAGACTTGCTTGGCTTCTTGCCTTTGTCTTCTTCGTCGTTCTTGTCTCCTCGGCGCACCTTCGGGTGGAACCAGGAGTCGTTTGCTCGATGGCCCTTCTCCTTGCATTTGAAGCAAAGGCCTTTATCGAAGCATTTCTGTCGTTCCTCAGGCGTGAGGGAACGATCGACGTCCATGGCCTCAGGATCGCGTTGGCGAACCTGAGGTTTGGGGACGTGCCGGTGGCCGGAAGGGCGTACTGATCTGTTGTTGGACACAACTGCTCTTGATCGCTTGTAGTTGGCTTCCAACTGTATCGCGGCAGTGTACCATTTATCGATGGTGGTGGGGACGACCTCCTTCCCGTAGATGGCGGTCCGAAGTCCTGGTTTCAACCCTCGTTCAAAGAAGTGAATGAGGGCGACATCCTGCTTGAGACTAGCAGTGGATGACAGGGTCTTGAACGTCGCAATGTAGGGCATTACGTCGCCGGTTTGGCTCAAACCATGAAGCTTGGTTAGAGCCTCAGTCATCCGGTCGACCGGGTGGAAGGATTCGGTGAATGCCTTCTTGAAGTCCTTCCAGCTACCGAAGTCGACGGCAGGTTTGTCGAAGGCTGCTCGGTAGAAGGTGTCGGCCCAGACGCGGGCGTCTCCATCGTTCATGTACTGGAGTGCAACAGCGACCTTGGTTTGGTCGGAGTTGTAGATTGTCGAGTTGATGAGGAAGTATGTCTCCACCGAGTACATCCAGCGCTCGGCATCATCGATGCTTCCATCATAGTTTTGTGGTACTCCAGCCTTTAGTTCAGGCCTGGATACGACCACTGTCGGTTGTTGGGTGGGGCCTCCGGACATTCTTGTTCCAGGGTTCGAGTTGAGGTTGCCGTACGGTTGTTCGTCGGGAAACTCGTCGGAGGATGTGTGGTCTTCTTCCGATTCTTCTTCTTCGGAGTCCGGAGTGTTGGGATTACGTTCCCAAGGGTACTTCGGGATCCAGGTAGTCGTGGTGTCTGTTGGTTAATGGGCCGTGCGGATGGCAGGGCGCAAAAAGGAAACTTGAATCTTTTGTTACGCACTCAAATAGATCTGTTATGCGGAGCCCTGAGAGGGGCGTCGTCCGCTAACGTTCGTGACGTAACCGGAAGGGTCCGGTGTAGCGACTGAGACTGGCGACGTCGAGTCGGCAGATCTCAGAGACGCGCGTGTCCCGTGACTTCTAAGACAGATGTCTTCAAAGTCACTGACGTTCTCAAAGTAAGGACAGTCTTGTCCGAACGATGAGTTGTCGATCGAGGTAGACTTAGGCACGAAGAGCACCTAAGAAAAGATACTAGAGACTGAAGCTGAGGGGGCTTCAGAGGGAAGTATGTTCGAGGGAAGATTGAGTAGATTCAAGTTAGGGAATCTAGTACAAAGTGACCGACTACTGTTACAGTCACTACGAGAGCCCCCAGCTACACGACCAGCCCTTTGCCACCTTGCATGGCAACAACACGATACCCAGGCCTTTAGGCCTTGATGACAGACGACTGATAGAAAAGAAGCCCGGAAGATGCCGGCTTAGATAAGCGGTCTGGACCGCTATAACGAACATATGACGACATAGGTCTAGAAGACCTATTTATGATATCAAGATAGAAGGCAAGCCTCATGTTGCCTCATGTACTGATAGAAGGACGCCTCGCGGTCCTTATCCTAGATAGAAGCCTGCCTCATGCATGGTATCTCTGACTCGATAGATAAGCAGATTAGAACCCAGCTTCAAGCTGAGCTTAGATCGATAGAGTAGCCTTATATAAGGTTGACGATTAAAGTAGATGTTCCTTACTTTAATCCTACTGGATTTTACCTTGAACTCCTTGTCCTGCTAAAGTTACCTGCTTGACATCAGATCCGTACCTTCAGAAGGACTTGAGACCCCTTCTGCCTGTAAACCGCTATCATCGCTCGCCTCCGCAAGCGTACGCAACTTCCGCTCTTCTGTGGAAGCCGACCTCGGACTCTCAGCACGAGATATCACTGTTGTGATCGTCGCTGTTAGATCATCCCAGTCCGCACGCGACATACCGTCGTAACAACTACTTATACTAAGTGGAAAGGGTTAAGGGCAAGGCTACCGTACTGTAGGTAAGGGTAAAGGGGAAACGGAAAGGGTATAGGTACGCTGGTAGCAGAGCCTGATTAGTGATGTAAGGTCGAATGCGGAATGAGACCGAGAAACGTTGGAACGAGCCAACGGTAAATGATACAATGTGCAGTATGCACGAGTCAAAGGAAAGATAAGACAAGATAAGGAAAGCCACATTGGTGGCACGAGTCAGAACGAGTCATAGCCCGAAGGCACGTGCGCACGTTGGTGCGATAGGAGGGGGATGAGGGACGGGAACGGTCCCAAGGATCTGGTCAACGGATAGTCGGTAGAGAAGTACGAGCCGGAGGCATACGAGGGCGAGGACGAAGGGGAAAAATGATAGGGGGGCCATGTAGCCGATGTTACTTGTAACATCATCTCAACATTCCCTCCTTACTTAGTTGTCAGTGCCCTCCCAATAGTTCGTCTCTGCTCACCTTTAGTCACGCATTTGAAAAAATTCTTGAACGAGAACTCGCTACTGGCCACTATGTTGGACCTTTCTCTTCGGCTGAACTTCTTGCTTGCCTCGGTCCGTTTCAAATGTCTCCTATCTCCATTATACCAAAATCGGGAAAACCCGGCAAATTTCGAATCATTCAAAACTTTTCTTTCCCTTTTACGCCTTCACATTTATACCCCAGCGGTTCTGTCAACTCGTTGGTTTGCTCAGATGATTTCCCCTGTACCTGGGGTACATTCGATACCGTCTGTACAATTATTCGCTCACTACCCCCCGGGTCTCAAGCCGCGATGAGAGATGTCGCAGAAGCTTACCGCACCATTCCACTCCATCCATCCCAATGGCCTGCAGCCGTGGTTCTGTTACCAGACGGGAATCTATGTGTGGATACTTGTGTATCCTTCGGCATGGGTCCGTCTGCTGGAGTATATGGTCAAGTCGCTGACACAGGCACAGATCTCTTACATGCAGCCGGCATCGGTCCTATCACCAAATGGGTCGATGACCATTTGTTCTTCCGCATCAGACGGGCCCACATCGACTCTTACAACTCACATCGTTTGCAGCTACGATGACAACTTAAGCATGACGGATGTCAACGCTCCGGAGGCCGAATCTGGTACAAAGGCACCACCTTCCCAGACGACTCTTACGACGTGCACGGGGAAGACGTAGTCTTCCCTGTGTGCGATCTCTCCCTCAAATCAGCCCGTTCTGACATTGATTCTGACTTCGTGTACGCCTTCCAAGACATCGACCGGGAGTCCCAACCTCTGGGGATCCCTTGGGAACTCACGAAAGACGTCGCGTTCGTGTTCATTGCGCTTTACCTTGGGCTGTTATGGAACATTACTCAGCTCACAGTTGAACTCTCACCGGCCAAGAAAGCCAAATATTGGAATGCCATTACGGACTGGAACTCGCGGCAAACTCACGTCCTTCTCGACATTCAACAACTCTACGGAAAACTTCTTCACGCCTCATTGGTCGTACCAGCAGGCCGTGCTTACCTCACCTCATTGGAGACCATGCTCGGAGTATGCTCCCCTCGTCCTTTCGTGCCTCATCACGCCGTCAAGCACCTCCAGAACGACCTATGCTGGTGGGACTCCACCCTATCCCGCTCCTTCCTCGGCAGGTCTATCTCACGTCCCTCATCCTTCCATAAACTCCAGGCGTTTTCAGACGCAAGTTCGTCCTTCGGCATCGCAATTATGCTCCATGGGCATTGGCGGGCGTGGAAGCTATCTCCCGACTGGCAAATGTGCGACGGACGACGAGACATCGGCTGGGCTGAATGTATCGGCTTTGAGCTACTCGTCCTCAGCATCCTTAACTCCCTCTCTGACGACGAAGACCACCACTTTCGTTTATTCTGCGACAACCAGGGAGTTGTCAATGCCTGGCGCAATGGTAGAAGTCGCAACTGGGAGACTAACAGAGTGTTCCGCAGGATCCACAACAGCCTCTCCAGCTCCAACGGCCACATCTCTTTCCACTTGTGCTATGTTGCAAGTCGCAACAACCCAGCCGACGGTCCATCACGTGGTCTCTTCCCACCAATCCGGTTTCTTCTCCCACCCGTCTCCTTGCCACCTGACGTCTCTCACCTCCTTACCGACGCAGACCCCTTCAATGAGCACGTCACTGCATTCCCCGATGTCACACGTACTAGCTGCCACTCTGTGGCTGTCGAGGCACTGGATTCAGACTGGGGAGAAGACCTCAACAAATATCATGATAGCTGGTGGGAATAGTACTTCGCGTTTCGACATCATCGTTCCCCTTCCCATTCCTCCCATCAACAGCACACCGCGCACGTACCATCATTCTCTCACCCCTCGCCCTTCCATCTTACGCCCACATTGTCTTGCATGAGACCGCCTTTGTCTTTGGACACCCGCCACCCCTAGATCTCACGAAGATCACTCAGGGTCCATTGTCACCTTATCTGACGACGACGTCAACCGCATCTTTGCAGTGCTTGCCCACTCTCACGCTGTCAGCACACGTGAATGCTATGGGTCCGGACTTCTGGTATACCATGTCTTCTGCGATTCTCGCAACATCCCTGAAACTCAGTGTTGCCCCGCTTCGTCCTTTTTACTACTTGCCTTCGTAGCCAGCTGCGCTGGGTTATATTCAGGTCGTACGTTAGAAAACTATTTTTACGGCGTGTGTGCCTGGCACTTGTTGCATGGTCTACCCTGGCTGGTCGACCAAGCTCAAGTCTCTCTTGCCCTCGAAGGCGCAAAACGTCTTGCGCCGCCTCAATCCTCTCATCCTAAACGCTCCCCTTTCACGATCACGCTGCTCACCCAAATTCACTCAGTCCTCAACCTATCTAAACCGCTGCACGCTGCCGTATACGCATGTCTCACGACATCCTTTTTCACCCTCGCCAGAACCGGCGAATTCACGGTCTCCTCCTTGTTGTCTTTCGATGCTTCACGACACGTGAAAGTCGCCGACGTGCACTGCGAAGTCGATCGCAACGGATTTCAGGTCACCACCTTCCGCTTGCCTCGTACCAAAACGGCCCTTACCGGAGAAGATGTCTACTGGGCTGCCCAGTCCGGCATCGTCGACCCTAAGGCTGCCCTGCTAAACCACTTCGCCGTGAACGCACCTCATTCCCTCGCAGCTTTGTTCAGCTGGCGCCATCATAAAGGAATGAGGGTTCTGACGAAGTCAGCGTTTCTGAAATGTCTACAGGATGCCGGCGCGCGCCTCAGCCGACATGATCTGAAGGGTCACGGTATTCGCATCGGCGGAACGCTGGAGTACCTCCTCCATGGTGTCCCTTTCGAGAGCGTCAAAGCAATGGGGCGCTGGAGCAGCGAGGCCTTTGTGTTATATTTGCGCAAGCATGCGGTAGTCCTAGCACCATACTTACAGGACCAGCCAGTCCTCAAACCGTTCATGCAATATACCTTACCTCTTTGATTGGTACATGTTCGCGTCTCTCCTTACACTTGGGGCCAAGCTAACGCTCGATGCATCGCGACGCGCTCCTTGTCATAGGGTATCTCGGCTCAGCTTGGCTTAGGGTGCGAGGCTCCAGAAGTGTTTCGGTCTAAAGCTTCAAAGCTTTGCCCAAAAAACCAGATACCATTACTCCTGTCTTAGTTGTAGTCTACTTGTCTATACTGTCTCGCGCTGTACCCAGGTTCACACGTTGATTACCAATCAAACTTTGTGTTTGAAAGTTCAAGCATAGACAAAAATCTACTGCATTCCGGGCGCAAATTGCCGGTATTGGAGTGCCATCACTCCACGATGACTCAGCTGCCGTGAGGTTTCCAGGTTGCATTCCTCCTTGGTTTATTTTCTAGCTACTTGTGCGCACTGCGCATTATTTATCACATTCCATATTTCATCAAGTACTTTTCCTGCACAAAGTAACACGCAGCTGGGACGTAACTTAACCCTAGGTGAAGGAAATTTTCTGTGATTGCTCATTCTGACATTCAAGTTTGACCCCTATAAAGAGAAAGAGAACATGGCCAATATCATTCGTTCTCCAAAGTCATGCGGTAAATGGGATAACAATGAATTGATCGCATACAACATAACCGTCACTGCTGTACCATCACAGCAATTCTTTCCCCAAGGAACAGATGTGCCTCTAACCGCGGCAGGACTTGATCCCGCACTCGCCACCGCCGACTCGTACAGCGCTGATGTCTCGGACAGCACGCACCTTTTTCTCGCGTATCTGCGCTATGCCACCACGCCGTTCAGTGATGATCGAAACGTTCGTGTGCCGAAGATTACCGACTTCGCTCGTCAGCTTCTCATTACTCTTGGCTTCGAAGAACATCGGTATCGCGTGTGTCGATTGGAGATCCCATTGTTGATCTGTGATGACATCCGCAAAATCGCGGAGATAAGCTTGGGCTTGCAGGACCTTGGTTCAACAGAGATGGTACCTCTTCTACAAATGAACAAGACGCAGATAGATCGCTCAAATATCGAAGCACACATGATTTCAGCAGCCATTGCGGCCTACCAGTTCAACAATAACATGCGGCAAGAGAAGGGCCTGCATCCACTTGATGCCATGACCATACCTTGAGTCACGATGGTTGGGACGCGCCCCACCTTCTACTTGGTGCCCGTCACCAAAGCGTTGAGCGATGCAGTCATTTCCTGTCAATATCCGTCCGCTAGGACTGAGGTGTTGAAATGCGAGGTCGCTAGTGACTGCAAAGGTGGCATGGAGGCACCGGAATACAGGCTCGTCGCCTTGCAGTATTATGTTGCATTCAAATCCCTTGCGAAAAGCCACTGGGAGAAGTTTATCCCTTAAAACTTAAATCACTTATAAGTATACGACGTATGCGACTTGTAACATTATTTGGATATCGAAACAGAGCCAAAAACTGCTTTTCAGTAACGATGGTCTCAAATTTGAGATGATAAAATGTGCAGTTGATCCAAAGTCTGTCATGATCTGTAAGTTGCACGTGCACACAACGTGCTATAGTATACCGCATAAAGACCGAGTCCAACTTAGCCGCAACCCATCACCATCATGTTGGTAAGTAAGGGAGACTAGTCGCAGTTCACTTGACTGGGAGCGCTCACAAGCACTCTCGGCGTCAACGCTCGCAAGCACGTGTCCCATCATCATGTTAGTAGCTTGACTTGCTGTGTACCACCACTCTGCTCTGTCTGCGCACCTCAAACCCTTCCCAATTTCGCTAGCTTTACTTGGGATCTAATATAAGTATAACCTATTCATGTCACAAGCATCAGGCACCGACGACGCCGAGGATCAGCTCAGTTACAACGCTGAGCAGCCTCCCCCGCAAATTGACGCCGTAGGACCCATCGAAGAGTAAGTTGCAGCTTCCTAGAATCTGTCACCCATCTAACAGCAAGACAGGGAGAAGATAAATATCCCACTTTCGGAGCTATCATCATGGTTGTAAGTGTTTCTGCCCAGATGGGCTTCTGCGCCACCCTTTACCACGACTGCAGTTCGAATGCTGGACCTTCGCAGCCGTTAGGTTCTCACGTACAGAAAAGCATTTTCAATGTTCCACCAGTCAGCGGTTTGGCTCCGTAAGTCCTCGTCAATAATGATGTCAAACATGCTCCTGAATTGTCTCAGCGAGGAGGGAAAGGTCGTAGCGGACAAGGACCAGCCAACTCTAAGCGAATTGTAAGCGGAAAATGAGTCAAGCGATCGCAACTGACGACACTGTACACTCAGAGCAAATGTCATGAAACAGGTATTGGACATTCTCCAGGACTCCACGATTGCGTCGAAGATTGGAAAGGACAAACGGTCTCGTTTCTGGGGGGTGTACAAACGAGTCGCAGAGGAACACGACGGCGAGTTCCTTGAGCGATACACTACTGACATGGACATTGTCTTGATCTTCGTAAGTTTAGCTTTCTTATCTTCGGCGCACTGAGACTGATATTTGATCAGTCTGGTCTTTTCTCGGCTGTCAGCACGGGTTTCATCGTCGCGATGGAGTCCAATCTCAATCACGACCCCAGCGACACGACGAATGCCCTTTTGAAGCAAATCGTGCAGATCGGTCTCGGCAACCTCGCTGAGGCGGGCACCGCTCCCGTAGACCCAGGATCTACGTGGTCGCCATCCGCGTTGGCTGTGAGGATCCAGTTGGTCGCATACGCAAGCTTGTCCATGAGCTTGCTCGCTGCATTCGGGGCCGTGCTGGGCAAGCAGTGGCTCGGGTACTACAAGTCGAACAGATATGGCCGCGGCTCGGAGGAGGAACGAGGCAAGCGGAGGCAAGAGAAGTTCGACGGCATCGTCACATGGTATTTCGACGCTGTCGTGCAATGTTTTCCTGTCATACTTCAGATCTCCCTTCTTCTTTTTGGAATCGCTCTTGGAGCCAATATGTGGTACGAGCAGCGGAGCATCGCCTGGATCATCATCGCAACGACGGTCTTCGGATTTCTATTCTATTCCCTGACGGTGATGGCATGTTTGATATCTCCTGCATGTCCATTCCAGACACCAACATCGACGATGTTGCGCATGTTGCACATCGACAGTAAGATCAATTTTACCAAATTCTAGTGGTCGTTCCCCGTCTGAACAAATATGCCAGGGGTTCTACGCCTGGTATTCAAACGAGCCTTTAGTTATTCCCGGCAGCTCACGAAGTCGCTGCACGGTGAGTGATGTCTTCTTCCACGTGGACAGGTTTTGACTGTTCCATGTCAGGCGTGCTGGAACGATTGCTTGACATTGTCAGACCAGGATGGAACCGATTGTCTCAAGTATCTAGAGGTGACGATCTTATCTACTATCACAAAGAGACTCAGTGCTCATTTCACTCCTCAGGCCCTGTACGTGCGATTGGCGCATTCGCACAGCGATCTCTTCAGCAGTCAATCGCTAGTCTTCATAATTGGCTGCGTTTTGTCCCGCGCTTTTCCACAAAGGTCGTGGACTCGGAAGCACAATTGCTTGGACCGAATTTAGATGTTTCGTCGGACAATGACCACATCCTCACCCTCCCTGACATACCTACCAACAATCTGGAAGCACCTAGCGTCAAGTGGCTGCTCGAGACCTCTACGGATCCTGAAGTATTTCTTGCCGCTGCCAGCCTTGTTCCGCAGGTCGAATGGCCCCTAGATCTTGACGTCTCAGACATGCTGCATCAGCTGTACGATATTTATACGAGCTGCGTCGGCTTCCATGGGCAAATTATGCCGTCGTTGAAGGGAAAGGCCTCAGCTTGTTCAATGGCTATGAGTCATATATATTGTGGCCGCGTTCTTCAGGCATATCCTACCCGTGGCGAATTTCTTGGTTGCAGCAAAAGAGATCATGACACATTTCTTCAGATGACTCGGCGGGACATAGATCATGCCGACAAGATGGTGCTTACTGCAGCTATGAATCTTTGTCTTCCGCAAGATGGCGATGACAGCTTTGGGTGGATTTTCTTGCATGGTTGTCCCGACTCTGTCGTGGAGTGGCTGTCTCATTCCCTTCCCTACTACTTTGTCACTAGGCGAACGAACGAAGGTATGGAAGAAATCGCCACAAATGTGATATCAGAACTGCTCTCATCTACATCCTCTCCATCGAATCAAATCATAGCCAATTGCACTCTTCTTGCTTGTGTCATGGCCGGGGTTAAGTTTGACAAGAAGGACATAATTCGGATTGATAAAAGGTGACATCGACTCATTTGGTGCTTCTTCTGGTATGACTAATGAAGATATTGTGTAGTTCTGCCCTGCCTCGATTTGCAAATGCCCTTTTGGAGCAGTTCGAAATTACTCTCCGGACACGTTATGGAGGTGATCTCAGCGACGACAGCACAGGCATCGCATCTTGGGACTACATTCCCATCGAAGTCAGTTGTCTTGTGCTCGAGTCTACCAAAGATTACTATAATCCTTCATTGCACGTCATGCGGAACCTGGACGCGTGCAGGAAGATTTACTCAAGAATCAAGTCATACCGGGCCGAACAACATGATCCCTGGGAGCTCATGGATAACCCGGAAAATACACTGCGAAATGCACTGCGCTTCACGCTCACTGCTGCCAAAGTATCTCGGGACCCTGTC